CCATTAGTGTCTAAATTGAGTCATTTTATGTAAATTTCCACTTTTATATAAATTAGTAGTATTATGTCATAATCTTATATTATTTTGTTAATTATGTAGATCTTTAAGGTTTCTAGTCAGTATTGTAGCAGTCCTACAAGAGTATTTTGCTGGGGTGATACTGCAGAAGTTCTACAGGAGCAAGCAGTGGGACACACTTTTTTTGTTTTGGGCCGAAACCATGGGCTGACGAGATTTACTGCAGATTTAAGGGTTAGGCTTTAGGCTAACTTACCTTATAAGCCTTCTTTTATACTTTTAACCTATCTTCTAATGTAAGGCTTAAATACCTTATAATTAGGAGTTGTTCCTAAGCTTTTAAACTTATCACTTTAACTTTTGGGTTTAATATTTCCTCTCTAGTATTTTAGCTTTCGGTTTCCTTGCTTTTTCCAGAACCGAAATTGTCAAGTGTTATTTTGTGCTAAAGCATTAATCTAAGTTCAGGTATTCAAGTTTCATCTCCTTTTTTTTTATTACTTGTAATTTTCAAAAGCTTTTTAGTTTTAGTTACAAAGTGGAATTAATCGATTATTGTTACAATACATTGGATTTCATCCTTGGTAGCTCACGATTAATTTCCTTAGATAAAAATCAGTTTTCCAAGTATTCTCTCACTTTTAGTGACGAAAATAATTTTGAAAGTTTCGCAACTTAAAGTGCAAGTTTCCTTAATTTTTGCAAGTACTTATTTTTATTTTATGTCATCTCTTTTAGAGTAATTTTTTTTAATTTCCAGTATTTTATTTTCTGTAATTTACTTTTCTGTACTTTAATTTTTTGCAATTTAACTTCTCGTCTTTTACTTTTCAGTACTTTAATTTCCAGTATTTTAATTTATGCAATTTACTTTACTGCAATTTACTTTCCTGCAATTTACATTCTAGCAATTTATATTTCAGTCATTTATATTTCTGCACTTTAATTTACAGTCTTTTACATTTTCGCAATTTAATTTCTGCAACTTACTTTTCCGCATCAGTTATTTATTTTTCAGTCTTTACATCTTTCGCGAGAAGAAACTGAACGATGATGGGCTATAATGCCTTAGCTTGGGGTGTAAGAGAAAATTAAGATCAAAACCGAAGTGAAAGTACATAAATGTCTTATTAGCATTATTGTCTAACTATTTGTTTCAAATGATTAATACTTCATTGAAGATTACGTTGAATTAATTGACAACTAATTTTATATATGAAAATGCATTAACTTTCAGAGTTAATATAAATAAGAAAACCTGAGGTAATAGAAAAAGACTATAAAGAGCTTTAGTATCTGACAAGTATTATACTTTTACGGTGTAGGATGGTAACACTCAGCTGTGCTAGGATTCACGACGTCTAACATAAATGATATCGTATCGATAGCACATTGGCCTGTGTGTACTCTTAAGAGGCAGTCTGACTTGATAGTTGATACTATGATAATCTATAACATCTTGTGGTATTATAGAACTGTGACAAGAGTGTTATGTCATCTTTGTACTGGATCACCTGTTTTATGTCTTAATCAACCTTTGCATCATGTACTTCTTTTTATAACTAATATTTTCTTAGTTGCTAATTAAACCACCCAATTTTAGATAAAACAAATCCCTCGAATTCGTCATCTGAAATTAGTTTTTAAAGACTAGACTTTTGAAGAACTTTACAAAGATTTCTCTGTGGAAACGATATCTGGTACTTATACCATTATTACTTATTACAAGATGATAGTAGTTCAAGGTGTATACTTGCACTGAGTTCTATTTTTGTGTTGAAATCTAAGGATGCATAAACCGAACGAGGAGCTCATATACCATTATTACTTGTTACTAGACGATAAGTGTTTCATTAATACTTGGGGCACCCAGCTCATTATCTATCAGTTTCTTATTTGGAGAATACTGATATTTTGAAAAAGAAGGATATATGTCCCCCTTCAAGTCTTTTTGATCACAAATCGAGTCTGATAAATTTTGTAATCTATATTGTTTATCAATTTGAGCTTATTTTGAAGCATTGGTTGCTTTATCTTTTCTACACTAAACAAATTTTACAGAATATCTATTACTCTGTCTTAACATTCATAGATACGTTTTTTCAAGCTATCAATGATTGAATGAAAGTTTTTGAGAGATGAACATAAAAAAGTCTCATATATAAAGTACATTATATTACTCTTTCTTAACATTCATATATACGCTTTTTCTAGCTATCAATGATTGAATGAAAGTCTTGGTAAGATGAACGTCAAAAAGTCTCATATATAAAGTACATTCTATTACTCTGTCTTAACATTCATATATACGCTTTTTCTAGCTATCAATGATTGAATGGAAGTATTGGTAAGATGAACATCAAAAAGTCTCATATATAAAGTACATTCGTTGCATTGAATATATTTGTTATATTCACATGCTAATCTTTTTAAAAAAGATTAAAAACGGGTTCATAAGCTGAATTTGGTTTTTCCCCCAAAAATCATGATCTGAAAAAAAATCCAGATTCAACGTATGAACCCGTTTTCAATCTTTTATAAAAAGAAGTGGATAAAATGACCAAAATATCCCTGACTTAACGAAACATTTTTAACGAAGTTAGAAGGAGGGACCTAATCCATAACAATATTGAAACCACGGTGACCACACTTGTAAACATTTCATTTGGGGGACCCAATTTATAATTTGCAAATAACCACAAGAACCAAATCTGTAATTTCTCTTTCCTTTATTATTTTAAATGATCTAAGTCGTTGAATAATTTTTTTTAATAAATAACCTTTTGAACTTTTAGAAATTGATTTAGATTTAAATCACGTGGGGTTTGAGAATGACAAAACTGATTTAAGTTTTTATTAATTATTTTAAAACCTTCATATCCCGTTACATCTACTTCTTTTTGCTAAAAAAATGCAGGTAACCAATTTTTAAAAGTTCGATAATTTATTTATTCAAAAACTATTCCGGAACTTAAGCATTGAAAATAAGAAATTCCAATAGTTTATTAATTTAAAAAAGCTCATGAACTTAATAATTCAAAAAATAAAAATTCATTTTAAAATAGAAAAAATAGATTATATTTTGGGAAATTGGTCAAATAATCATTTCTTTTACATAAATTGGTCTTATAATCCTTCAAATATCACTACTTCCGTCAGTCTCGCATCCCACTTGCAGACTTAGCTAAAAACAAAAAATAAATTCAAATTGTAGACCTCGTCATCGCAATTGCAGACCTGAGTCAAATCTGATAATTTTTTTGTCTTTTAACTGGATCTACAAATGATGGACGTAAAACTTGCAGACGTAATGATATTTTAATAAATCATAAAAAAGAAGGATTAGAAGACTAATTTATAAAAGAAATGACTATTTTAACCCATTTCTTTTCCATTTTTTTTATTAACCTAGATATCCAACCCGTTATGCGAGCCGACTAATCACAGAGCAACCACCTGTTTTGCAAATAGTCCGGAGTCACCGTATTTAAACCTCCGTGACTACAAATGAATTTTTATTTCTCCTTGAATTTAAATCAGGACCTTTTAGTACTTTTTGATCTTTTAGAACCAAGTTCAAACTAATAGGCATTACCTTTTTGGTGCAAACTTAGGTGTATTTGTGGACTTTTGTACGAATTAATGAGAGTTGAAGTCCAGAATACGGCGGTGTGTTTCATGCTGAAGGCCGCCTTTTACAATGACGTCACTTGCTTCGTTATGTATTTATTTGGCCTTGTTTATTATACGTGGAGAGGTGTTTTCAAGGTGAATTTCAATTTTAGTCCCCAATAGTTTACCCAAACTTAATTTCTAGTCCTTTTACTTTACTAAGGGGCTTTTTTACCAAAAATAAATAAATTAGATAAGTACTGATTGGGATAAGAAATCTGACTCAAGTAACCGTTGATAAAAAGTTATTGTTTACCTATTGTTTTGAATTAAGTGTGAACTAGGGTTTCCTGAATAGTCTGAAATTCGAACCCTAATAAAAAAAAGGTGTTTGTGCCAAAGCCAAATTTCCCGAAATCCGAAAATCTGAAACCCATCTTGTGGGTAGATATTTGGGTTCAGGTTGGGTTTGATCTTTAGCTACCTGATCCGTCCAAAAACCTGATATATATATATATATATATATATCTATGTATATATATATATATCTATGTATGTGTGTGTGTATGTATATATATGTATTAAAAGAAATGTTCAAGTGAGAACGCAAACTATCTAACAAAACAAAAAAAAATCGTTAATGTATAAATTATAAAATCACATATGATTTTATATTAAAGTAAAAAAAAATAGAAGCTTTTATATGTGAATACACACATATAATATTTTCTAATTTAAAAGTACAATATTGTGCTTTGGTCATTTTAATAAAAGACATTTTATTATTATATTATTAATAAAATAGTTTAACTTATTCAAAAACTTTTTATTACCGATTTGACATCGATATAAGCCGTTTATCCAAACATTCAAAAGTGCTTATTACCGATGTCACATCGAAATAAATCAATAAGTTGTTTTTATAAGCAATCACAAACCCCCCAAGTACATCCACTGTTCCTTATTTTATCTTTATGTTTATATCCAAAGGAGCTTTAAAAAAAATGAATATTGTATTTTTTATATTATTTTTTAAATGAAAAAAATAAAATAAAGTTCATAAGTTCAAATAATTCTTTAAAACCGTAATATTGACGAGATAAATGATCTTTTTTAAATTTTTATCTATCAATCAGATCAAATGCATTATTATTTTATATAACTCTTTATATTTCAAAAAATTGATATAAAAATCACTCTAATTTTTTTGATTAACCTGAATATCCAACCGGTTCGGAGACCATGGAATGTCGGCCTTAACCGGGCTCATTAGACCATCTTCCGAGACCATGCTCAGGACCTGTTCGGGCTCTGGCAAGATGTTTGATATAACAATATACAATTTCATTGACCAAGATGCTCGATAAAATGTCGTATAAAATACACAAAACTAAGATTTCCTGCCAACGCATCACCTAAATAATTACATGGTAATACTTTGACGGTGCACTTGGTATGTGGACGAGACTGTACTGATGGGTGAGTGAAAGAAATGTGCAAGGTTTTAAAGATTTTAACTGCAAATGAATAGTTTAGTAATTTACCAATAATGTCCATCACCTGACATTTGTTCCACCTCTTTTGATGGGTAAAAAAAAAATGCATTTTGTCCCACTTCGTTATGTCTTGTCTTGTCTTGGTTTGATGTCGTAAATCAAACCTGTAACAATTAGTTTTCGTTCTTTCCGGTCCTGTATACCAAACACACACTGAAGTACACGGATTAAAATCCACCTTCCATTCTGCTGATTCAAAAACGAACGACCAACTTCGAATGGTTTTTTGTATTTCGCATGTGTATCGAAAACGGAGTCAGATGGTATCTAACCATGAATCGAAATCATCACCTGGTTCAAACTTGGACACAGGTTGGGATGGGTGCGATATGGAACCAAGAGGAGTGGACCTCGGCTCGTGAGACGGTGGTGCACCGCTCTGATCTAGCAAAGCCGGAGTCGATGTTTCCTTGAGTAGGTCATCGAGGGTATCATCAATATCAATAGCTATCGTCGTTTTCTTTGAGGTTGAGGCCGTTTCTTTCAAGTTAGTATCAGCAAAAGAATCAAGCAGCATATCAAGTTCTGCTTCAGCTGTTTCTGGTTTGAAGTTTGATTGCTCCGCACTTGGCTTTGCAACAGATTTTGGATTTGAATTTGGTGTGGGCTGCATCATTGGGTTCAAACGGGTACTGCTAGCAGGGTCCTGAACAGAATGGTGGCGGCTCTTGGTGGTGTCGTATGATGTGATTTCATGATTGTTATTCGCTGGTAACTCATTTCTATTCGTGCTATCGTGACCCTGGCTAGATTTATGGCGTTCTTCTATTTCACAATACTGCCAGAAGGCAAAAGAAAGTATTAAACAAAGGAACAAAATGCATCAAAATGTAGCGAAGTTTGTACTAATTCCTATTTAGTGTAACAATGGATCTTTTATACCCCCATTTTTTACCAATCCATGTGGATAGGGGCCAACCGCTGAAGGTCGGTAGCTCTGTAGATGACAGCATAGAACTTATGCAAATCAACCAAAAAAGTTCCTTTTTTTTATTAACCTGGATATCCAACCCGCTATGCGAGCCGACTGATCCCAGGGCAACCACCTGCTTTGCAGATAGCCAAGAGTCACAGCATTTGAACCTCCGTGGCCACAAGGGGATTTTTATTCCTCCTTGGATTTGAACCTGGGACCTCCTGGTACTTTTGACCATTGGAGCCAAACTCAAACCAATCAACCAAAAAAAGTTAATGTAAGGTTAAATGTAAATAGAGTACTACATACCAGTTCTGGAGGGAACAAATCGGCTTCCATGAAAAGCCGTTTTGGTAAATCTATTTTCGCAAGTTGTTCTGAAAGAGCTTGCAAATTCAGCGAGAGAAATGAAGCCTACAAACGCAAGAAGGTTTATCGGCAGTTGATTCATTTCAATAGTAAGTATTGTGTATGAAATAGGATGCATAAAGAAGGGGAATAGTAGATGCTTTCGTTCAATATCTGCTGGTTCACAATGAGCCAATAAGAATTGGGATACAAGAGGGGTATTTTCGTCAATTTTTGTTATTGCATGAAGGGTTACTTGTAGCCTTTCCCTACAGTTTAGTTACTTGGCTTGAAAGTTGAGGATACATGCATTATTTTATAAAGATGTAGAAATCTACAAAATGGAAACTGAAACTTTTGGCACATGGCAGAAGAGACTAACTTTCTTGGTGTCAAAACCTCTCCAAAAATAAAAAGCCAAGAAAAGAAAAAATGGGTAGACGCCACCCTCTGAGACGCCCCACGCCACCAGCCCCACGATCATCATGGGGGAGGTAAATCAGCACTAACGTGGGACCTGACTCGTATGAATTGCACGCACACCTCTATCGCTAGGACAGAGCGGGGACAAGATAATGTTGAAGCTTTTAAGGCTTCGAGAAAGTGTCATCTGTAAATTTTGGCAACTGCCAATAGAACTCGTAATGACATAAATTTTCGGATGATTCAATGCCGACTGAAAATCCTTTTAGACCATTCTATAGACAAAGGTGTAAGAATTGCATGTCTATAGTCTTAAGGACTTTCAAATTTTAAATGCATTATTGCCTTTTCAGCCCTACTGCTTCGATTTCAAAAGATTAAGCTATCCAGTTTGGTGCTCCTGGATGGAAACGAATACCCTAGAAGTTGACAACCATCCTATTTAACCATGAATGAAATGATATAAACTTAACAGGATGAAGTCAGGACGTTCAGCAAACCAAGTCATAACGAAATTGTCACCCTAATTTACGGTAGCTTATGGAGTTCATCAACCGTTGATTGGCATTGATCAACAGAAATAACCAATGAATAAGGGTGTAACGGAACTGGTACCAAAGATAATAGGTATCTACAACTAGAAAGGCAGTGCATCAAAACTAGCATTTATCTATCAAAATAAAATACCGTAAAGCCTGCTCAACAAAAAATAAAGTACCTCATAGTTTGCAGGTTTCTTATCCTCCACAAAGAAACTGTCATTTTGAATTGATGATAGTAAGCTTTCTCCTCGGACAGTAAAGAACGCATCTTTTCCCTGACCAAAATCTAACAAACATGATTTAATCTTCTATACTGCTAAAAAATGCTTACCTTTTCATATGCCAAATTACTCAGACACATGTTTATTGCAAGAATTGGAACCGCAACATTCAGTAATATCTTACATGCTATGCTGTTAATATCGTGATATATCGTCGATATATCGGCGATATATCATCGGACCTAGGCAAAATATCGCTGCATAAATATCGGTCAAAATATCGTCCTCGATATTATCGGCGATATTTTCCGATTTTTCCCGATATTTAGCGATATTTTGATGTATATATCGGACCGATATATCGATTTTTTAGGGTTCAATTATTTGGGCTTTTGTTATTTCATGGGCTTGGTAACATATATTATTCGGTCATAAATTAATAGTTTGCCTTCCAACGGTCTTCTTCCTTTCTTTTCATCTTTACGAGTTACGACTTCACACTTCACAGACACCTAGTTCACTTCACGAATCACGACTTCAGACTTCTCACAACTTCAGACTTCTCACGGAGTCACGGTTTGGCTTCTTTTCTCGGATGCCGAACCTATTGCTTGCGATTAGCTCGTTTTTGAACACTTTAGATGATGTGATGTTTTAATTTTGAAACTATATTTCTAAACTCTAATTAATGCATATTATATATATAATCTAAGAAATATTATGTTACCGCTATTTTGGACCGATATATCACCGACATAGCCGATATATCGAATATCGGTCTTGACCGATATTTTGTATATAGACCGATATAACAGCATAGCTTACATGCTTATTGGAGATACGTTAATAAGCCTAGTAACACACCAGGCTAACAATGCCCATTAATAGAATCGGCTGATTTAGTGACCATTTTATTGGGAATGTTTTTGAAACAGAAGCCCCCCCTGGAAAGTAGGTTCTCCATCAGATTTTTTTTTGCAGACAAATTTTAAAAAGCAAATGTTTCCTCGTGTCTAACAAGAAGCAAGGACAATCTTGGTCAAGTGGCGTCAACAAAATGAATTTTAGAAGCATCAAATATGCATTATTTAAATACAAAATGTTGTTTTTCTGGAAATAAAAGATGCATTATCAATCCTACACACACACATATATAAGGCTAAATATCATGAGAAGGTAAGAAGGGAGGGTTCATATGTGAATCATTGAAAAAATCCACTTGAAGATGCGTATCTATGTGAACCTATATGAATAATCTGTAATGTCGGTCCACGTATGCATCTCCAGATAGATTTTTTCGGATTTTTCACATATGAACCTTCTCTTCTTCCCTTCTTACTTTCTCACAATATCTAGCCTTCTCATTTGAACCTCCCATATATATATATATATATATATATATATATATCATATGCAGCAATTTTGTTGAGAGCCCAAATCAGCAACTGTTATAAACCATCCTTCTATAAAGTAATGAAATCAAAATTACATACTGTCAAGATAAAGCAGATTCAAGATTTATATATCATTTCATATAAAAAAACACAAACACATGTACGAGACTAACATATAAAAAAGGTTATGCAATTGGACTATAACAGAGATTTAGTAAATGAATGTATTGACAAGCAATAAAAAAACTTCGATTTACAAGCTAAGATCAGCACAAACTATACCAGTTTCACTGAAAGTACTACAAATAGGCACCCCTTCTTACCATTGATGTACATTTAAGAAAAATGGCCAACCCCTAGAAACTGAATGAAATTGTGAAAGATTGTTGATAGAATTACAAATCAAGACAGAAAAGAAGGCCAAGTAGCATTGATTGAGAAGAAACTAAGGCAACACTATATAAGAAGGGTTGATCATCTCCAATGTAGACCATTGAATTCTATTGGATTTTATTTTTAGCCCAAAGATGTTAAAGGCTTAAGGCACACTTAGGTGCAAAGGGGTCCTGGGGTCTAGGTGCAAGGCGAATGCATGAGGCACGGGCCTCAGAAATATGAGGCACATCTTATCAAAATATATATAATATATATACACACATACAGCTATACACAACTCAAATATGCAGCAAGTACAAGCCTCCAATGCAGCAACCAGCAGGACTTTGATAGAGGCGGAAGGGAGAAGGGTTTAAAGCATGAGCCGTGAATATTTAAGGTCTGGGTATTTATAGAGAAGGATACTTGAAGTTCTAAGGACTGGGTATTTAATATTAGGGTTCGACTTATGTCATCTATTTAGTAACTTTTAATCACTCTTTACGAGGCGCACCTAGGCGGCTAGGCCCACAAGGCACTTTAGCCAAGGCGTAGCGCCTTAGTGAGCCTCGTGAATACGCCGCGGCTAGAGTTTAAAAAAAGCCCAAGACCATGAGCCTCAGAGCCTAGGCACGCTTTTAACAACTATGTGTTAGCCTACCCCTAAAATAGTTGTAGGAAGAAGAGGGGGCAAAAAAACAAACACAAAAGGAAAATTTTACCATCAAAGCAATATTTATGAATCTTCTCGATGATCAAAAGGCTATACATTTAGATAATGAATATATGAAAAGAGAAAGAAAATTGCAATTACAAAAAGCAATTGAAAGGAATATGCATACCAGAAACAAAATCATCAAGAGATGGAAAGATTTCTGAAGAGAACCTCGTAGAATTCTGGGACTTGGCCTCAGAGATCAAGTAACTGTAATCTGCACCTTTGCTTTTAGGTATAACAATGTCACTTGGTTGACTAGATTGACCATCTTTTTGATCTTCTGTAATGGGATCCTTTTCATCCTCATATCGGTCCCAATTAGAGGGAAGTGCAGCTGGGCCCTGAGAATGACGAGGTTTTTCTTTAACTACTTTCCCTGGTGCCTTGTCCACGCCGGTGGCTCCTACAGAGCTAGCACTACCTTTCACCTTTTGATTTGGATGATGTTTCTTATGATGCTGAGAATGTGCTCTCTTTGATTTTGCTAACGATTTTGTGTCCATGATGATGCTAACTTAATATTCTCTTAGAATCTCAGCAACAGATCTGAATGAATAAGAAGTGATATTAAATAGAAAATAACAAGTCATTAGCGTGAACAAAGGAATGTACTAAAATCAAACTTACCTACTATCTCAGACAATGTTCAAGCAAGATTTTCTAAAGAAAAATCTAATAAAGAGAATTGTAGCATTCTAAGAAGAGCGATAAGCTCACTCCAACTTGGATAGCTATATCCGAAACACAAACCCATATGCACTTCGGTCATCACTTCATGTTCCTCAAAATTTGTTCTCCTTCCCTTTCAAAATCTTTTGACTTGTCCACTTTGAATATTCAATGATTGTTAATAGCTACTTTCTCGTTGTAACCTTCAAGCAAGCAATTGTTACAAGTATGGATTCCTATCACTCCTAGAATATTGTTATTACTGCTTCCTCGTATTTTGCAGTTAATATTTTTAATTCTTATGCTATATTCATCTCATATATTGTCATATAATGAACCCCATATTTGGTCTGTTCAATTACTTTCTTTCTGTGATGATCTATATAGCCTATTTCAACATCATGATTATCAACTTATAATAGAACTGCTGCTTCGGTATCTTCATCATTATTTGTGCCTTTTTCTATATTGTTTAAGCAAAGAGAAGATTAAAGTGTAATTTATTAAGCAAAGGAGGTAGTAGCTTATATATTTTCCAGGATGCCAGACTTGGTAACCTAATATAGAACCAGCATTAAGATCGATAGCTTTCCAACTGAGCCGATGAGGATAGAGTTATTCAAATTGAGGCAAATCCAACAGAAAATCACTAGTCCTCAATATCACTTAGGGGTCGTTTACTAAACACTTACTTGGTAAGTGCTTACCGGATAAATTTCATTATCGGATGAACATGAGAAGGGCCAAGAATCTTACCGGGTAAGAGCAATGAAAAGGATAGAGAGTCTTACCCGGTAAGTAAGGATGACGACTCTTACCCAGGTAAGCACTTACCCGGTAACTTGTTGCATTCGATATGTTTTGATGTACTAAAATCTTACGTATAAAAATAAATTATAATGTTGAATCCTATCGGTAAGCACTTACCGAGTAAGCATTTGGGTAAACGGCCCCTTGGTATGTTTACTATGTTGATGGGAACTCAACACTACCTGGACACTTGTTATAGCTAGATACAAATCACGAATACACAATCCAGACAAGTGAAGTCAACTTCTTGTCATTCAAGAAGTAGAATCAAATTTAACCGACCTATGTTCCTCATGATTCCTTTTCAAATACTGGCAAAAAAGAACTTCATATCAACCAAAGACTCAGAACTTTCCTACAAAATCAAACACCGTAGGCTTTCAAGAAGATACACCTGTATTTAGGATCAATAATTCCATCCAGGAACAATGCAAAATCAAACTATATAATAAACCCTTATGCCACCACCAAATCTAGATACAAATGAACATCTAAAACAAGTTAAAAACACATGGCATTACCAGTTAGTTCTTCTAAGCTATTGAACTGAAGATACGTTCGAAAGCAACACAGGAACGGTCGAATTCCCATCACTAACAAAGAACTAGGGTATCATATAAATCATCAGAAAACGATAATTGATACCTTAGTGAAGTAGATGGGTGATTGGTTACGAGTGTAAATTGCTCTCTCTTTCGCGGTGTTTTCTTTGTTGTTTGAAACGGTGATGGGGTCGATCGAATACATATACCAGAAGAGAGTTAGAGACTGAGAGCAGAGAGAGATCGAGAGTGAGAGTCCAATCTTCCAACAAATCGAAGTGGTGAATTTTTCAAGGGTAATTTTTTTTTGGGCCCAATTGAAGGTATAACTAGTGAGGGCCAAATCGGCCCAAACCGTCTTGGGACTTCGGAGGGTCGGAACCAGGACCGACTAGGACCGATGAGGACCGGTTATGAGACCGTCGGTTATGTCAGGTTACTGATTTTGTCGGTTTTGTGTGACCGGGACTGGTTAAGTACCTGTCCGGCCCATTTTTTTTGAAAAATTATAGCCATTATATACCCTTTTTTTTGTTGTTTTTGGCCTCAAAACACTATAAATATGTAGTTTTGGTTGAGAGTTTAACATACCAACTTTTCAATTCTTCAAAAACGCAAAAAACGTTCACAATTCCCGGTTTCTCGCTATATTTTGTGAATTCAACTCGTATTAATTTCTCGTTTCCACTTCACAATTTGCATTTTTTTTCTCTCTTTGTCTTACAAAATGGCCGGTGAACAACATGATGAATCAAACGAACAAGTTGCCCAAGTTCTCGCCGGACACGAATGAAAGTTCAAGATTTGAAATCACTATAACTTGGTGGTTCTCACAAACAGAAAAAGAAGTGCACAATGCAAAATGTGTCAAGCTCTCCTTACGGCGGAAGAAAATTCTACCTTAAGGAGGCATACTGAAAAAACGTGCCCGGGTTGAGGTCAGGGGGCAATTCAAGTCAACCGATACTTGACACTAAAGGTCAAATATGGTTGTATGATGTCGAGTTGAACCGACAAATGACAACACAATATGTCATTCAAGTCGGGTTGTCTTTCGGCATTTCGACAACCCTCACGTTACGAAGTTGATTCAAAAGATACTACAACCACGCTACAAGCGCGGTAAGTTTTAAGGGTCAAACCCTTAAACGTGACACAATAAAAATGTGGAAAATGTGTTTGGCCGAAATGCAACAAATGTTTTCCGTTTTGTCTAACAATATTTCTTTAACATGTGATGTATGGAGCACACCATACGGATTGCCGGTTTCGTATATATGCATAACGACACATTGGGTTGAGCCTACATCATGACATTTATTCAAACGTGTAATCGCGTTTGAACCGTTTGGTGCGCTACATTCGGGTGCACGTCAATTTTCAATTATAAAAAAATGTCTTTCATTTTATATTTTAATTGCTAAAATAATTAGCATTTCATTTAATAACGCTAGTAATAACAATGCTTGTGTGGAAAAATTAAAGTGTCATTTGACACCTATATTAGACGGTAAATTATTTCATACACGTTATGCACACATAATAAATTTAGCCGTTTAAGACGGTTTAAATACGTGTAAACCCATAATAGATAAGTTTAGACTTATGTTGCGGCGAATTTTGGCAAAAGGTAAAACAATGAATGCAAAATATAGAAAGTATTGCAAGGACGTTGATTTTAGAGCTTTGGGACCGAGGTTCGATATGTCCGTTCATTGGAATTCGACTTATTTTATGATTGAAAATTTGATAAAACAAAAAAAATTATATTTTTGCTTTTAATAGACACCATTATCCGCAAAATTCTATTGGAAATCTTGATTAGGCCGTGCTTGAAGGATTGTACAATATTTTAGGCGATTTTAAATGCGACAACACATCTATCCGGTATTTATTATCCAACAAGCTCTTTAGTTTTAAACGAAATCTATATTTTGGCAAGTAAGATTGCCCAATACGAAGACCATCACGATTGAAGAAGGTTGATGTCTTCAATGAAAAAGAAATTGTTAAAATATTTTTATGAGCATCTCATTTGCTTGTCTTTGTGTTGCGGCGTTAAACCCGTATTTAAATGTTATCGATATTAAAGTTTTAATTACATAAATATGTGTGGCTTTTGGTTTAGATACCGCTACGGATAATTCTTTTTCAATGGAACAAAAACGTTTGTTTAATCGTAATTTTCAAGATTTATTTGATCATTACAAACATTTTTACGGAGGAGGAAACCAACAACAAAACTCTTCAAGTCGTGGGTTTGCGGGTTCTAGTTTTTCTTCTAGTGGTCATCGACAAAGTCGTTAAGAGTTGATGACTAATTTAATGAACGAGGTTTTAAATGAATCAAGTAAAGAAAGTCTATATGATAACGATTTGAGTGAACTAAATATGTATCTGCATACTAACTTTATGGTGGCATGCCCCGCAAATGATGTCGAAGATTTTGAAAAAATTGATTTATTAGATTTTTTGAAACAAAAACAACCTCAATTCCCGATTTTGGCGTGCATCGCACGTGATATACTAACAATCCAAGCTAGTACCGTAGCTTCGGAGTCTGCCTTTTTTCTTAGAGGCTGGATCGTTTCCATACGTCGGACAAGACTAAGCCCGGAGTCCGTGGAGTGTTGCATCTGGTTGAAGGATTATTTGGATAGCGTTGATAGGATTCAACACACGACATCGTTAGAGATGGAGATTGAAGTGGTGGAAGAAAATTTGGAAGAAAATGAAATCGCCATGGGACTAAGCATGCCGCCAACTACCGATACCGACGACACTTACTCACAATATGACGATGATATGGAACTCGACATTGATGACCTTGATGACCAAGAGGCTATTAGAAGAATTCAAGAGACCATAACTCTTTAAATCAATCCGACATGAGATACCGATGAAGATTGATGAATAAATGTATCATCAAATAATTTTATAATTAATTTTTGTAAAACAATTTATTTTAATTATAATAAAACGTTGTTTTAAAGTGTATTTGAGTGATCCGTACGATAAATTTAATAACATATTAAAAATATATATTATTAAACAATTTTTTTTAAGGTTGGGACCGGGACCGGTACCCTATAACCGGTTACACAAAGGCTTGACCATTCTTCACCATTTCGATCGAGACCGGTTACACTAGGACCGGTTGAGGCCGATTACGTGTTTCGTCAGGCCCGATTGGGACCGCCCCGACCCAGCTTGGGACTCGTTTTTGGCCAGTTCTGAGGTTTGTGACCCCTACGGGCATAAAGCTAAAAAAAGTGCCCCTAATATAAACAAGAGCAAAAACAAAATATACTATTCTTAAGTGGCGAAACCTACTCAAGTTAAAAGACTCATACTCGAAAAGAAAGGAAAAAACACATAAATATGAGTTTAGTGTGTGTATAATAGTCTTGTTAGGATGAAGACCATATACGAATGTATCACGCAAGAATCACCAAAAAGGTTATGAAAAATTCAAGAAACAAATACCCAAAGAAGGAAGACCCAAAAAATCACAGAGAAAAAGGTGAGTTTAGTGGGGAACCTGACAGAAATAACCCTCTAAAATATGAAAATTAAATTTTTAATCCTAAAATTTATAAATCTAACAAAATAGCCATCCGTTACCCTGTTAGCACCGTTTGGTGCGTACAGGGACTGAATTGCAAAAAAAAATTGAGGTGACCCGATGTGACAGAGCCTGCAGCCTTGACCAAACCAGTGACCACCCTTACGCGCACAGGCCGGTGCACGATGCGTAAGGGCCCCACCCAGCCCATTTTTTTCTTTATTTTCCTCCTTCACACACTATATAATTTTTTTTCTTTTTTTACCTCAATATCAACCGTTTCAAACCCCACTTGAAACATACCAATCTCAGTATTACCCGTTTCATAGCCAGGGGACGTACGAAGCTCCATATCAGTCGTACAACACTTCATATAAGTCATACGAAAATCGTCCGACGTACCAATTC